CGATAACGGATGAAAAGCACTTGCAAGATACAACTTTCCTTCAATTCGAGAGGAAGGAAAAACTCTCCAAAAGATCTCCGGCGAAGCCAAGAGCCCAAGACACCAAAACCTAGATCTCAAAACAATTCAAATTCAAGATGCCCCCTTCTCCCTCCTAATCCTCCTAATTAACAATAAAGGATTCATACAAATTACCTAAACAGCCCTTTGCATTCAAAAATTTCCCTCCCACCTAAATAAATCAGCCCCAAATGGGGTCCACCCTGTCCGCCGCCTCCTCTGGGAGCTTCCGCCTCCGCCTGGTGTAGACCCGGGCTGAACCGGGTCCAGCCGGCCCCTCTTGGGCCGGTTCACGCGTAACAGTAAGTCCCGAAATCCTTTCTTCTCTGTATGCGTGAGTCTCTATGTGCGCGATTCTGAGAGCGTGAGAGTCAAAAATGAGGCCGAACCTTTTTGTGTCATAAGGAGCGACAATTTTGGACGTGGTTTGAGATCGTGGGATCGATCGTGGCTGAGGTGGAATGAGTGGTTGAGTATCGTGGGTAGTTTGGCCGAAACAGACGTATGAGCGGCAATTTTAGGTTAACAACAACTATTAATAAAATCCTTGTTTTAATTTAACAATCATATCAATTAGTGGATCACCCATTTTATGAAGGCGAAATGTTAAGACAATCATCCCCACTTGCCAAAAGATAGGCTAAAGAAATGTAGCAAATATAAGGCATAACAAACCTACTTGAGTCCCTGTAAACGATTGATAAGCAATGAAAGGAAAAAAGTTTTAATGATTGGCATATCAAGCTAACAGTACAGACACCTATACAGGAAAACATTGGATGGGCAGTGTTTGGAAATCAATCAAGGAAGACCAAGACCCTGGAAGATTCAAGGCCAACTATGTCCATGAAGATCTAACCATGAATTTCATGGAATGGTTCGAGAAGCTATCAAACTAAAAAATAACCTCCGATTTCACCCCAAGTTTCCAATTATTACCATGACTTCTAAAATTTTGATACATGCCCCTGAGATCGAAGTATAAGAGGATCTCATGCATAACTAGCTATCAATAGATCAAATTTACCAATTATATATGGATTGTCAAATAAGACGGAATAAAAATAGCACGGATGTAGATTTTAAGAGCAGAGTCTCGGATTGGGAATCTGGGATATAGATGAGCAAATGAGCAGGATCTTTATGAAGACTGGTTATGAAGAGCAAGTTATCACTCTTGTAATAAAAGGGCAAGTTCCGTGTGCTACTTCTATAATGTGTCAAGATACATCAGTGTTATACTTATGTCAATAAAACAACACTCTTAAACTCACTAAAAAATATAAAGACCCAACAACTTGAGGCTCTAATGAGACAACGAACAACTAGGGAGCTTTGCAAGTGTAATCCTTTGAAATTCAAATTTGTGATATAATCATAGTTGGAAATTGAAACCTACAACTAAAAAAATCTTGAATGTGTAGCACGCAGAAAAGAATAAAATATGAATTTAGCAATCTTTATTCTTTCAGGTGAAGTTGATCAACGTTAATCAACTCCCAAAAAAAAAACTAAAAACAAGTAGAATATACCTTTTGTAGAATTCATGCATATACCTATGATAAGCATTTCCCCAAACATTAGCATGACAACAACTAAAAAAGAAAAAGGGACAAACTTCTTTACTAAAGAAAGGGAATTTCTTCAACTTAAAATAAGATATCAAATTCAAGGAATTATCACTCTACATCCTAAAACCATACAAAAGAAGCAAAAAAAGTTCAATTGGGACTAAAGAATAGCACCGATCATTCAATAGCAAACTACTTGAAGAATAATAAGTTGACATGTCAATATGTCAACCCTAGTTCCAATATCAATCTTTGCAATGATGAGTAAGGCAGCATAAAATTTCAATATTACATTGACAAGTATGATATCGATTCACAAAACTCTAGTTCAAGCTATTTTTATTCTTAATCAACATACTCAATACATATTGACAGATTAACACAAAAAATCAATTAAGTTACAAACTATTTGAATTATGGTGTAATTATTATTTCACATAATCTAGCAGCAAACCTATTACCCATACATATGAAAAACAATGATTTTATTCTTGAGATGGTTTATTATCATTTTAGAATACAACCATTAGCTCATATGAAAAAAAAATGATAATTAGTTCTATAGTACCAATAAAAATCCCTTCTTCATTCAATGGTACAAAATAAAATAGCAAGTCTAGTAGTGTAGGAGTTTCAAGACATGTTCCCAAAAAATCAACTCGTGCCACCACCAGAAGGCAAGTGGATTTGCCATTATTTTAGTACATGGAACCTCACTCAACTATGAAGCATCATATCATATGACTATCCTTGAGCTTCAACAATTAAAAAAGTAAACTACAAGAGCAGTTATAGTTGGGACTCTGGCCATGCGTATCACCCAGGGACGACTGAATTCTTTCTGTAAAGAAAAGGATGGTTCTCTCCATCTGGATAGTGACCATTGAGAGTTATATCAAATAACTATCAAGAATATACACAATTTGC